CTTACATTACATCATTTTCGCAAGTCACATCATTTACTAATACAGCAGATTTTGTCATTGATTAGATAGGTTTAAAATCGCTAGATTAATACCTGATATTCCCATAATATGATATGTAGAAGCATACTCTCTAATAGGCAATAAATTGAGATTTTTAAAACTAAAAAAAAAACATGACAACTTTAGACAAAGATTCATTGCTTTAACTTATTTTGCTTGTGATCATTCGTGATGATAAGCCATCTCGGTCATAAAACAACGAATAAATTGCATAAAATCTGCCTTCCGCTTTGCATGAATATTGATGCAAGTTCAGGTTAAATTTTTATTGCATGAAATTATCACGAAAGTATTAATTTAATGACTTTTGCTAACTGCTACTATTAAATAAACTTCGTCATAAAAGAAGTAAAAAGTTTTCTTGAAAATTATCTTTATATGACTATCACGAAATTGAATTAAACTGTGAAATGAAATTCTGAGTGTTTAACATGAAATACTAAAAAATTATTCGACTGTCTCCGGTAGTCAAACATAAACTCGACTTTTCATGTGCTTTTAATTATAATAAAACTTTTAGGAAACTTCAATAACTTAATCACGATCGATGTTTAGGCAATTGCTCATGAGTTAACATCTAAAAGTCGTCTCGATTTTCTAATTGAAAGTCATTGTTTTATTAAATGCGAGAATTCTACGTAGACGATTCGATAATGTCTGTAATAAAAATTAATAAAATCAATTTTGTAATTGTCTTTTTGTGATTGATTTGACTTCATAAATCAATAAGACATCAAATAATAATTTCATCAAATCGTTTTAATCACAGGCCGCGACTCCGTCCGAGTTTGTTGGAGGTTTGGGAGTAACAGGTCTTCATCCGACATTATCACTCACTCAAGGTGTTATCATTGAAGCTCTTATCACATTTATTCTCGTGTTTGTTGTACATGGCGTTTGCGATGGTCGCAGATCTGATATTAAGGGATCCGCTCCATTAGCCATTGGACTTTCTATCACAGCGGGACATCTTGCAGCGGTGAGTTAAGAATTTGAATTGTTTTTGTGTGGGCTTAAATTAAATTACATGACATTAACAGATTAAATTTACTGGTGCCAGCATGAATCCAGCAAGAAGTTTTGGTCCCGCAGTGATTATGAGCGCTTGGACAAATCAATGGGTGAACTCAATAATAATTATTCAAGTTTTAAGCGAATATGTTGTAAACATTATTTGATGATTTCAGGTTTATTGGGTTGGCCCAATTCTTGGAGGAATCGTCGCTGGCATTGTTTACAGGATATTCTTTAAAGTGCGAAAAGGTGATGAAGAAGCAAATTCTTACGATTTCTAAGACGCATTCAAATCATCTCAAACTTTTCTTCTTTTATTTTACACAAATCAATCACAAGCAAACACATAGTTAAGTGCACATCCAAGAAATCTTTTTTATCTCGAAGGAAAGTTTTAAAAATTTTCTTTTTCTCTTCTCACATTTTAAGTTTGTAAATATTTTTTTTGTTTCTTTTTAATTTTATTATACAATG